CGGTGGCTTGTCATGCTCCCCCTTCTGCTGCCTTACCCAAAAGATCTGCGCCGGTGCAATCTCGAAGCCAGATCTGCCTGGCTTGCACGAAAGGTTCCGCTTGTGATTGTAAAACCGGTGCAAGTTCGCAGCTGGCCTTTCCGACAAGCGCTGCTGTGCGGACACCTCCGGCGAGCATCTTCCGTGCTGCTGCTGCAGTAGAGATGCCCTCACAGTGCAGCTTGTCTCGGTGCCTCGGAGGTTGCGAGCGCCGCTTCCTGGCAGCGACACAGACCAGCAGGCGAATTGGCTGAGACAGATGGAGGCAGCATCACTTCAGGCGAGTCCGGCTCTGCCTCCACTCCACAGGCTGTGCACAGCTCGCCCAGAGCCTCCAAGGCAAAATCACAAGGCCACGCTAGCTGTTGATGCACTGCTTGCGAGGAAAAAAATGCTGGATCGCGGTTTTGCGGGATTTTGTCGGTTAGTGGCCCTGTTGCGATGGCAGAATTGCCTAATTACCAATTGTCTCAGAAACAACGTAAATGTAAGACTCTGTAAGACTGTGCGAAGTCCCTGCCTGGACCGCTGCTCTCGTCTTGTCAGAGTTCGCTGGCCCCTGAGCAAGCTGCGCTCGCGATCCCATTAGAATCATTAGTCTTCTCGACTTTCCGATGGCCATGCCCAACTTCGAGAACATGGCAGCACACTGCAGCTCTCGCCAGCTCATGTCAATCAGCGTCTCTCTCGCCACAGGCCTTGCTCTCTGCCAGTGCTGCGGGCACCGCCTCGCGCACGCTTTCGAGTTTCAGCGTTTGGCGGGGGGCCGCAAAGTGGACAGGAGGAAATGCGAAGGCGCTCAGGTCGCGACTGGCCACAGCAGCAGCTGAATCAATGGGACCAAGACTCCCGACACACGCTCCGTCTGCATCTTCTGCAAGAATCTGGCCAGGGAGCCTCAGCGGTTGCAAATGTTTGCTTCGCTCTGCCTCTGCATTCCTGCGCATCGGATCCTCAGAGGAAGGCGGACGGCCAGCACGGCAGCAAGCTGGTCCGGTGGATCCTCAGAAAGCTCCACGTGAGTGCGTTAAGCCGAACCTTCCGAGCTTGGCCTCTTCGGCAGCGCAGGCCATCTCCGCTTCGGCGGCCTCGTGACCATGACCCTACTTCCAAGTGCCAGATGGGTGCTGAATAGTGAACGCGGGTCCTGCATCGCATCGACTCGCTCCGGCGCTGGCAAGGGCCTCTAGCAGACTCTAGCACACACATCATGGCATGGCTCCACGAGGGGCGCAGGTACACGTCGCAGAAACGGTGCAACGACAAGGCGGCCGCCTGTTGTTCTCGACATCGATCATCATTATCTTCGCAGCGTGCAAAATCAAGACCCGCAGCAGACTGACACGATCCAAGACCAGCGCAAGCAAGCAGGCATGTCAGATGCCTCCCAGATGCTCTTGGGTCTGTTCATGTACCGGTGCCGCTCCGCCTGGCTCACGATGCTTCTGCGGCCACCCCAAACATTCCCGCAAACCCCAATCAGACGAGTGCTGCCAGCACGTGAAGCTGCGAGAGCAGCGGCCCGCAGACGATCAACTCTGCCACGGCCTGATACGCACAGAAAAACACTCCGAACACACAGCTCGCCGCTGGACTTGCCTGCGTCACTGCAGGCTGTCTAAGGCCCAAGAGGTCGATAACCAAGTCCAGCACGTCCTGAGCAGCTCAGACAAATTTGGAGCGCGAGATCTGGCATCGCAAGCGGGCGAGGGAGGCTCCTTCTCCATCGTCAGCGCGGCTTGGAGGGAACCAGAGCTGTCCTTGTGCATGGCCTTTGCCATTTGCGCCTCGGTTCTGTGGACACATGCTGCGCGTGCACTCCCTCACTCCCTCATCCCAGGAATCTCCACGATAACGCGAGCCGGGCCGCCCAAGCGCAATGCAGCCGTTCGGCCAGTTTCGGCAGCAACTGGCTTCGCAGCACCTGCACAACCGGCGCCAACGCTGGCTTGGCACGCCCAGGGCCAGCCCGACAGATTCGAGGACCGCCAGCTACAGCCTCGACGGCTGCGCCATGCACCTGGCGGAAGAAGTGGAGGCAAGGTCGCACTTGGAGGCCACTTCAAGTGCGTCCCAGTGGCGAGAGGACTCCTTGACTGCAGGAGGCCTGGCACACAAACTTGTGCGAAGTACGTCGATGGCTCGCCGGGCACAGCTCGGGCAATTTCAAGCCAAGTTCGGCCGAGGTGCAAAGACAAACCGTTCTTGCTCCTGTCTCGGCCATGTCGTAGCCGTGGAAGACGTATCTCATAGCCTGCCACGCGATCTTCTTCGATGCCCCTCACGATGCCAACGAAAAGACGTCTGCCTCCTCCATCAGAGGCAGCTTTGACTCCTGGCGCAGCGAAGGAGGGAAAGAGGATGCTCGCTGACTCACTCTTGAGCAGCGAAGTGCCGCACAAGTTTGAAAGCATGCAACGCCATGTAATGCCATGTAGAAGCTTGGCAACACTCCGAGCACGCGCGCCTCCAAGAACAGTTCCGCGTTCCTCAGACCGCAATCGCCATGACGTGATTCTGTGGAGGCAGGCACGTGTGCACTGCTCGAGACACTTGGCCCTGTGAGCGTCTGGCTCGCGCGTCAGCCGGAGAGCCATCCGCTTCAAGGCTGCGATGTAGTAGCCCTGATTGGTGCTTGTAAGACGCAGGCCAGGGCACCTGTGTTGAAATGGTCCTGAGGAGATCCTGGGCACCTGGCCAGTGCATCGTGGGAGTTGTCCGGGATCTCCGGCCTGAGCGCGGACATGATGCAGCAATCCTCGCCAACGGCCGTGGCGGCCAGACCGAGCGTGGCCGAGCCCGGTGCTGCCCCTTTGCCAGCAGGTGCAGCTCACCGCTTGCCAACATGGCATCGAACGTGTCGTCGCGCACCTCGAGAGCGGCAACAGCAAGCAGAGTGGAAGGTGCGAAGGAGCAAGGCAGATCGGGCGAGGGAATGACAGGCTTCAAGCGGCTTCAACAAGTGCTGAAAAAATAGGCAGGCCACGTTCACCATAAGCAGCGACCTCGGGCCAGTGTGGTATGAACAACTGTTCACAGAGCGACAAGATGCACAAGCAGAATCGCAGGTCCCAGGGGCAAGGTGCGGAAGAGGGCATGGCGCACACGCCGCAGCGTGTGCTTTGCCAGCAGTCCGTGCTGGACAAGGAGCATCAGGCCCTGCGGCCGAGATGGCCCATACTAAAGGACGGGTAAGTTATGGCATATGGCATGGACCTGCAAGCACACTGTCTCTTGGCTCTTGACGCGAAGCCGTGATCAGATCTGGCCTTCCGCTCCTGAAAGACGCGGAAGAAGCCAGCGTGCTTCTCCTCGGAAAAGGAGAGCCTGCCAGGGCTGGGAGGTAAAGGCGGATGATGCTTAGCTCTTCGGGCGGATGTAGCCGGGTGGCGCGAAGCCGAGCTGCTCGATGCCTTCGGCGAGCGCCTTCATCAGCCGTTCTGAGAAAATATGTCCGAGATGATTGCTCGACTGAGCCGGCCACGTTTGATCACGTTTGCCGTCGAGTTCAGAGCTTTCCACTGCCTTCCGAGGCTCCGCTTGGTGTCCGAAGGCTTGACAGAGCGAGTGCCACATTTGAAGTTCAAATGTGGCACTCGCTCTGTCAAGCCTTCGGACACCAAGCGGAGCCTCGGAAGGGTTCGAAGCCCTCCAGTGTTCGCGGAAAGTCCTGCGTAGCATCGGCATGCCCTGCAACGCCTGCACGAACTCGAGTACGAGGCCCGGGCTTTCTCTGGAGAGGGCTCTGCCTTGCAACCGGCTGAGGCTGAAACTTCCGACGAGTCACGCGTCTCCGCTGCAGGGTTGCGCCTCCCAGAGAGAAGAGACGGCTTCCACTGCCTCAGCGAGAAGGTGCAGGAAATTGACTGTGAAGCGCAGCCTTCTCGAGTGCAGCCGGGGAACGGCCGAGAGCCACTCCATGGATGCAGACGTGGCTATGCTGGGGGGCTTCCAGGTTCGACGATTGTGCACATGCAGAATCAGAACCTGGACTGTAGAGCGCCGCTGGCTCCTGCGACTTGTGACCCGTGACATGCAAGAATGCTTTGCTGGCCGCTCTTTGGCGAAGCCTCACGCTCAAAGCGATAGCTAATCAGCGATCCAAAGGAAAGAACAGCATTCGTGCAGAGACATGCCCTGCTTGAAGCGGATTGTTGGGTGAACCCGCACTGGCCGTCAAGTTGGCAACAAGGATGCAGCGGCAATTTTCGAAAAATCGTTCGCGCGCGAGTGCTAAGTGCTCATAGTCATGGCATCAGAAGCAGTCAGACCCGCCGTCCTCAGAGATGTGAGCAGAAGCTTCCGTAACCCTCGCATGTGCAGCATCCCTCTCATGAACAGCATCCGAAAAATGCGCGGGCCTTTGCAGCGGGCTTCCGGCAGCAGATCCTCTTTCCGGGCACGGTCAAGAGTGATCAGTGGCGAATTAGTGATTTCCTCTTCCACGAAACTTTGCAAGAACGGGACTGTACAGCGCATGGCATGGGTTACTCCTCTGACGCGAGGCCGGGCCCGACCAGCATGTTAAACATAACATCGATATGTTACCGGATGCTAGCCGCTGGCCCGTCATGGACTAGCAAGAGAACGACAAGCACGGAAAGAAGCGGTCCGTGTGACAGAAAACTTGCCACTCCATTTATAAGACCTTGTTGCAGCACGGTGTCTGACTTGATCCTGCATACATCGCGAAACTTCTGACGCCCCCGCTGCATGCATGCTTCACAAGCATTGCAGCATCTGCCATAAAGTCTGCTTTTGCTGCCTTGGTCGGCCACCTGCAACAGACGCACCAACCCGGGAACGCACAGAGCTGGCATTCGCTGAGGAGCACGACGCCGGCCTTCGTGCTGTGCACACTTCTGCTCGGCGGTGCCGGTTTTCGGCACCGCAGGGGCCTCCGCCTGCATCCCATCACACGACAAGACCCCCAACTGTGCCACAAGATGCCGTGTCAGAGGGGAAAAGCCACCTCGACTCATATTTCACAGTATTTCACAGAAGGCTCAGCCACGTCGGCCTTATTCAGCAGCAGCCCGGAATCGTGCAGCAGCGTGGGGTGGGTGGCCTTCGATACTTTATGTCAAATTAAACAGCAAGCTACACAGCCTCGTTCTCACACTGAGTCCACGGCTTGGCACTGGCGAAGCAAATAAGATGCCACCACAGCGCAGGGCACCATACTGACGGAGTCGCATGAGTTTGGGCCCCCACTCTCTCACAACTCTGGGAAGAATGACTCCAAACGTCCGCCGGCACGGAATATCACAGGGTATGTTGCCTTCTCACTACCATAGCACCTACTTGAGAGGCGCTCCAGGGCCAACAAAAGCCAACCCCGCACCTTGGGAACCAGCACCATCAACTACAGAAGCAGGGGTAGCTGCTGCTGGTATGAGAGACGCAAGCATGAGTGAGTGAAGCCGTGGATGACGAGTCATTGACGGCGAAAGGATACACAAGTCTAGCAAGCGAGTGAGCGGAGGGGGGTGCTCCGTTGCGTTCGAGTTCAGTGAAGAAGCTGGGTCAGAGGAACGCTGCTGTAGAGCACTGGAGCCAACGGGTACATGAGTCAGGCGAGAGAGCGAGGGAGTCAGACTAAGTGCGACTTCGTTAGCAAGGGCGCCAGGGATATCGGTAGGGAGGGAGGAGGGGAGGCGAATGTGTGTGTGTGTGTGGTTGGCTGAAGTAAAGAGTGGAATGAGGCTGTCGTCACTGCGGCAACCTTAGCCCTGCCTCTGGGTGCTGATCATGTTGCAGGTTACTAGCGAACAGTTGCCACATTTTCGTGCTTGCGGACAGGGCGGCCTGCCGACTCCGTCCCCAGGATACTTTCTATCTGCACCGAAGCTGCGAATAACAAAAACAGCTTTCAACTGCTCTGCGGGAAGCAATAGAGCGATCGTGGGTACATGGGCGAGTGAGGGAAGGAGGCTATCATAAAGGGATGTGGGTGAGTGAAATGACAGAGCTGAGCGAGGAATCACTCGAGTAGACTCGGTGCTCACGTAGACTTCGTGAACGGATGAAGTGAAAGAGAAAGTAAGTGAATGAAGCAAGTGGCAAGCTGAATAAGAGACCGCAGTACGTCAGGAAGGGCGTGAGTAAACACCGGAGGGCGTACATGCAAGTGACAGGCAATCAAACGATATCAAACGAGCACAAGCAGTGAACAAGTTAAGCGCGCGATTGGAGATTGCGGCACCGCGAGGGAGCGGTTCGTTGCATTTTGGAGACCCTCTGCTACTCACTGAAGGGAACTCAAGCAGGTCTGTGAGAGTGCGGCAAAAAAGCTTTCCTGATTCCTGAGTTTATCCCGCTGGCACGGCTTTCAGCCACTCTGCGAGCTTAAACTGCACATGCATGGATCGAGATGATACGCGAAAGAAGTAACCCCAGTGAGAGACTGCATGATCAAATATGCTGCCTAGTGAATGGAAAAGTCGAGACGAGCAACCCTAAAACACGGTGATTTGAGCGAGGCGACTGTGTGATGGTGTAAGCCGAGCGAGTGCCTGGAGCAAGTGAGCTCGTGACACACTCAGCATACAGTACGTACACACAGACAAGCACACCAGCACACTTCTTTGCAAGAATCCACACCATTGACCACTTGAGAGCAGCTGCTTCCACCCAACAGCATGAACCAATCCGGGCATGCATTCCTACTCCCTGCCCCCACCCACACCCCTTCGCAAGAGATGTCCCGGAACCTCTACCACCCCGACACTGCGGATGCACTGCCGCTGCCTGCCTGAACAATGCCAAAGCAAGGGCGCCAGCTTTTGCGAAGAGAGCCAACACATTACAGAGCTCGTCCCTGGAGCTTCAAGCACCCTGAACATCTTCAGATTTAGATGCTTGGGGTCCCACTTGGGTGTGGCTATATCCCAAACACTTGCACAGGCCCTTCGATGGTGCCTCTCGGTGCTGTCCGCCCAGCAGCACCGTCCAAAGCCATTCTCAAGGCCTCGGAGGCACTGTGGCGATGAAAGCAACGGTAAAGCCCCCGACGACCACCGGAGAGCCGAGACACCCGAGACGCCCATCATGCTCTGGTCGTCCAGCATGGCCTATAGCTTCGATACTGCAAGCGAGCAGCGCACCATGATCCAACGAGAATGACGAGAAAGGCCCGCGCCTGGATGGCCCCGCGGAAAGGATTGCTGATCCCCTTCTCCTGCATGCCAGGGCAATCGTGCAGAAATAGACAGAAGACGGTGGCTTGTCATGCTCCCCCTTCTGCTGCCTTACCCAAAAGATCTGCGCCGGTGCAATCTCGAAGCCAGATCTGCCTGGCTTGCACGAAAGGTGCCGCTTGTGATTGCCGAACCGGTGCAAGTTCGCAGCTGGCCTCTCCGACAAGCGCTGCTGTGTGGAAACCTCCGGCGAGCATCTTCCGTGCTGCTGCTGCTGCTGCAGTAGAGATGCCCTCACAGTGCAGCTTGTCTCGGTGCCTCAGAGGTTGCGAGCGCCGCTTCCTGGCAGCGACACAGACCAGCAGGCAAATTGGCTGAGACAGATGGAGGCAGCATCACTTCAGGCGAGTCCGGCTCTGCCTCCACTCCACAGGCTGTGCACAGCTCGCCCAGAGCCTCCAAGGCAAAATCACAAGGCCACGCTAGCTGTTGATGCACTCACTTTGCTGAATTTGCGGGTTTGTGGGATTGTGTCGGTTAGGGGCCCTGGTGCGATGGGCGATGGCAGCCACTAGCAATACTTTCTCAGAAACAATGTAAGACCGTGCAAAGTCTTTGCCTGAACCGCTGCCCTCGTCTTGTCAGCGTTCGCTGGCTCCTGGGCAGGCTGCGCTCGCGATCCCATTAGAGTCTCCCCGACTCTCCGGTGGCTGTGCTTCGAGAACATGGCAGCACACGGCAGCTCTCGCCAGCTCATGTCAATCAGCGTCTCTCTCGCCACAGGCCTTGCTCTCTGCCAGTGCTGCGGGCACCGCCTCGCACACGCTTTCGAGTTTCAGCGTTTGGCTCGGGGCCGCAAGTGAACAGGAGGAAATGCGAAGGCGCTGAGGTCGCGACTGGCCACAGCAGCAGCTGAATCAATGGGACCAAGACTCCCGACACACGCTCCGTCTGCATCTTCTGCAAGAATCTGGCCAGGGAGCCTCAGCGGTTGCAAATGTTTGCTTCCCTCTGCCTCTGCATTCCTGCGCATCGGATCCTCAGAGGAAGGCGGACGGCCAGCACGGCAGCAAGCTGGTCCGGTGGATCCTCAGAAAGCTCCACGTGAGTGCGTTAAGCCGAACCTTCCGAGCTTGGCCTCTTCGGCAGCGCAGGCCATCTCCGCTTCGGCGGCCTCGTGACCATGACCCTACTTCCAAGTGCCAGATGGGTGCTGAATCGTGACCGCTGGTCCTGCATCGCATCGACTCGCTCCGGCGCTGGCAAGGGCCTCTAGCACACACATCATGGCATGGCTCCACGAGGGGCGCAGGTACACGTCGCAGAAACGGTGCAACGACAAGGCGGCCGCCCGTTGTTCTCGACATCGATCATCATTATCTTCGCATGAGGACCCGCAACAGGCTGACACCATCCAAGACAAGCGCAAGCAATCGCAAGCATGTCAGATGCCTCCCAGATGCTCTTGGGTCTGTTCATGTACCGGTGCCGCTCCGCCTGGCTCACGATGCTTCTGCGGCCACCCCAAACATTCCCGCAAACCCCAATCAGACGAGTGCTGCCAGCACGTGCAGCTGCGAGAGCAGCGGCCCGCAGACGATCAACTCTGCCACGGCCTGACACGCACAGAAAACACTCCGAACACACAGCTCGCCGCTGGACTTGCCTGCGTCACTGCAGGCTGTCTAAGGCCCAAGAGGTCGATAACCAAGTCCAGCACGTCCTGAGCAGCTCAGACAAATTTGGAGCGCGAGATCTGGCATCGCAAGCGGGCGAGGGAGGCTCCTTCTCCATCGTCAGCGCGGCTTGGAGGGAACCAGAGCTGTCCTTGTGCATGGCCTTTGCCATTTGCGCCTCGGTTCTGTGGACACATGCTGCGCGTGCGCTCCCTCACTCCCTCATCCCAGGAATCTCCACGATAACGCGAGCCGGGCCACCCAAGCGCAATGCAGCCGTTCGACCAGTTTCGGCAGCAACTGGCTTCGCAGCACCTGCACAACCGGCGCCAACGCGGGCTTGGCACGGCCAGGGCCAGCCCGACAGATTCGAGGACCGCCAGCTGCAGCCTCGACGGCTGCGCCATGCACCTGGCGGAAGAAGTGGCGGCAAGGTCGCACTTGGAGACCACGTCAAGTGCGTCCCAGTGGCGAGAGGACTCTTTGACTGCAGGAGGCCTGGCACACAAACTTGTGCGAAGTACGTCGATGGCTAGCCGGGCACAGCTCGGGCAATTTCAAGCCAAGTTCTGCCGAGGTGCAAAGACAAACCGTTCTTGCTCCTATCTCGGCCATGTCGTAGCCGTGGAAGACGTATCTCATAGCCTGCCACGCGATCTTCTTCGATGCCCCTCACGATGCCAACGCAAAGACGTCTGCCTCCTCCATCAGAGGCAGCTTTGACTCCTGGCGCAGCGAAGGAGGGAAAGAGGATAGCAGCGAAGTGCCGCACAAGTTTGAAAGCATGCAACGCCATGTAGAAGCTTGGCAACACTCCGAAGCACGCGTGCCTCCAAGAACAGTTCCGCATTCCTCAGACCGCAATCGCGGACGAAAGAATTCTGTGGAGGCAGGCACGTGTGCACTGCGCGATACACTTGGCCCTGTGAGCGTCTGGCTCGCGCGTCAGCCGGAGAGCCATCCGCTTCAAGGCTGCGATGTAGTAGCCCTGATTGGTGCTTGTAAGACGCAGGCCAGGGCACCTGTGTTGAAAATGGTCCTGAGGAGATCCTGGGCACCTGGCCAGTGCATCGTGGGAGTTGTCCGGGATCTCCGGCCTCAGCGCGGACATGATGCAGCAATCCTCGCCAACGGCCGTGGCGGCCAGACCGAGCGTGGCCGAGCCCGGTGCTGCCCCTTTGCCAACAGGTGCAGCTCACCGCTTGCCAACATGGCATCGAACGTGTCGTCGCGCACCTCGAGAGCGGCAACAGCAAGCAGAGTAGAAGGTGCGAAGGAGCAAGGCAGATCGGGCGAGGGAATGACAGGCTTCAAGCGGCTTCAACAAGTGCTGAAAAAATAGGCAGGCCACGTTCACCATAAGCAGCGACCTCGGGCCAGTGTGGTATGAACAACTGTTCACAGAGCGACAAGATGCACAAGCAGAATCGCAGGTCCCAGGGGCAAGGTGCGGAAGAGGGCATGGCGCACACGCCGCAGCGTGTGCTTTGCCAGCAGTCCGTGCTGGACAAGGAGCATCAGGCCCTGCGGCCGAGATGGCCCATACTAAAGGACGGGTAAGTTATGGCATATGGCATGGACCTGCAAGCACACTGTCTCTTGGCTCTTGACGCGAAGCCGTGATCAGATCTGGCCTTCCGCTCCTGAAAGACGCGGAAGAAGCCAGCGTGCTTCTCCTCGGAAAAGGAGAGCCTGCCAGGGCTGGGAGGTAAAGGCGGATGATGCTTAGCTCTTCGGGCGGATGTAGCCGGGTGGCGCGAAGCCGAGCTGCTCGATGCCTTCGGCGAGCGCCTTCATCAGCCGTTCTGAGAAAATATGTCCGAGATGATTGCTCGACTGAGCAGGCCACGTTTGCCGTCGAGTTCAAATGTGGAACTCGCTCCGTCAGGCCTTCGGACACCAAGCGGAGCCTCGGAAGGCAGTGGAAAGCTCTGCATCCAGCAAGTGCCGCGACTCGGACACCGTCACTCAGTGGGTGGCAGCTCTTCGAATCCCTCCAGTGTTCGGGGGAAATCCTGCATAGCATCAGCATGCCCTGCAACGCCTGCACGAACTCGAGTACGAGGCCCGGGCTTTCTCTGGAGAGGGCTCTGCCTTGCAACCGGCTGAGGCTGAAACTTCCGACGAGTCACGCGCTCCGCTGCAGGGTTGCGCCTCCCAGAGAGAAGAGACGGCTTCCACTGCCTCAGCGAGAAGGTGCAGGAAATTGACTGTGAAGCGCAGCCTTCTCGAGTGCAGCCGGGGAACGGCCGAGAGCCACTCCATGGATGCAGACGTGGCTATGCTGGGGGGCTTCCAGGTTCGACGATTGTGCACATGCAGAATCAGAACCTGGACTGTAGAGCGCCGCTGGCTCCTGCGACTTGTGACCCGTGACATGCAAGAATGCTTTGCTGGCCGCTCTTTGGCGAAGCCTCACGCTCAAAGCGATAGCTAATCAGCGATCCAAAGGAAAGAACAGCATTCGTGCAGAGACATGCCCTGCTTGAAGCGGATTGTTGGGTGAACCCGCACTGGCCGTCAAGTTGGCAACAAGGATGCAGCGGCAATTTTCGAAAAATCGTTCGCGCGCGAGTGCTAAGTGCTCATAGTCATGGCATCAGAAGCAGTCAGACCCGCCGTCCTCAGAGATGTGAGCAGAAGCTTCCGTAACCCTCGCATGTCTAGCACCCTCTCATGAACAGCATCCGAAAAATGCGCGGGCCTTTGCAGCGAGCTTCAGGCAGCAGATCCTCTTTCCGGGCACGTCAAGAGTGATCAGTGGCGAATTAGTGATTTCCTCTTCCACGAAACTTTGCAAGAACGGGACTGTACAGCGCATGGCATGGGTTACTCCTGTGACGCGAGGCCGGGCCGGACCAGCATGTTAAACATAACATCGATATGTTACCGGATGCTAGCCGCTGGCCCGTCATGGACTAGCAAGAGAACGACAAGCACGGAAAGAAGCGGTCCGTGTGACAGAAAACTTGCCACTCCATTTATAAGACCTTGTTGCAGCACGGTGTCTGACTTGATCCTGCATACATCGCGAAACTTCTGACGCCCCCGCTGCATGCATGCTTCACAAGCATTGCAGCATCTGCCATAAAGTCTGCTTTTGCTGCCTTGGTCGGCCACCTGCAACAGACGCACCAACCCGGGAACGCACAGAGCTGGCATTCGCTGAGGAGCACGACGCCGGCCTTCGTGCTGTGCACACTTCTGCTCGGCGGTGCCGGTTTTCGGCACCGCAGGGGCCTCCGCCTGCATCCCATCACACGACAAGACCCCCAACTGTGCCACAAGATGCCGTGTCAGAGGGGAAAAGCCACCTCGACCCATATTTCACAGTATTTCACAGAAGGTTCAGCCATGTCGGCCTTATTCAGCAGCAGCCCGGAATCGTGCAGCAGCGTGGGGTGGGTGGCCTTCGATACTTTATGTCAAATTAAACAGCAACCTACACAGCCTCGTTCTCACACTGAGCCCACGGCTTGGCACTGGCGAAGCAAATAGGATGCCACCACAGCGCAGGGCACCATACTGACGGAGGCGCATGAGTTTGGGCCCCCACTCTTTCACAACTCTGACTATCGACGGAAGAACGGCTCCAAACGTCCGCCGGCACGGAATGTCACAGCCGCCTTCTCACTACTATAGTACCAACAAAAGTCAACCCGGCACTTTGACGACCAGCAGCACCATCAACTGCACAAGCAGGGGTAGCTGCTGCTGGCGTGGGAAGCGCAAGCACGAGTGAAGCCGTAGATGACGAGTCATTGACGGCGCTGGAGTGCACATTTAAGCAAGCGAGTGAGCGGAGGCGGGGGGGTCGCTCCGTTGCATCGAAGTTCGGTGAAGCAGCTGCGTCAGCGGTGTGCGGCTGTTTAGCACCGGAGCCAACGGGTACATGAGTCAGGCGAGACAGCGAGGGAGTCTGACTAAGTGCATGAATTCGAACGCAAGGGCGGAGTGGAATGAGGCTGTCGTCACTGCGGCAACCTTAGCCCTGCCTCTGGGTGCTGATCATGTTGCAGGTTACTAGCGAACAGTTGCCACATTTTCGTGCTTGCGGACAGGGCGGCCTGCCGACTCCGTCCCCAGGATACTTTCTATCTGCACCGAAGCTGCGAATAACAAAAACAGCTTTCAGCTGCTCTGCGGGAAGCAATTCAGATAACAGAGCGATCGAAGCGAGGAGTGAGAGCAGCGGCTTTCGGGTGTGAGAGTGAGTAACGCAGGAGCTCGTGGGTACGTGGTTGAGCGGACCCATGAAGGGACACTGACTAAGTGAGTTAATGAAAATGTGCTTTTCGGCGAGTACAGCCGGAAGTTGTGTCGGTGGGTGGGCACAAAGCCAACATCTCATGCCATGAGGTACTGCAGTGCAGTTGGGTCCATTTAAGCAATATCCCAAACACTTGCACAGGCCCTTCGATGGTGCCTCTCGGTGCTGTCCGCCCAGCAGCACCGTCCAAAGCCATTGTCAAGGCCTCGGAGGCACTGTGGCGATGAAAGCAACGGTAAAGCCCCCGACGACCACCGGAGAGCCGAGACACCCGAGACGCCCATCATGCTCTGATCGTCCAGCATGGCCTATAGCTTCGATACTGCAAGCGAGCAGCGCACCATGATCCAAGCGCCTGGATGGCCCCGCGGAAAGGATTGCTGATCCCCTTCTCCTGCATGCCAGGGCAATCGTGCAGAAATAGACAGAAGACGGTGGCTTGTCATGCTCCCCCTTCTGCTGCCTTACCCAAAAGATCTGCGCCGGTGCAATCTCGAAGCCAGATCTGCCTGGCTTGCACGAAAGGTTCCGCTTGTGATTGTAAAACCGGTGCAAGTTCGCAGCTGGCCTTTCCGACAAGCGCTGCTGTGCGGACACCTCCGGCGAGCATCTTCCGTGCTGCTGCTGCAGTAGAGATGCCCTCACAGTGCAGCTTGTCTCGGTGCCTCGGAGGTTGCGAGCGCCGCTTCCTGGCAGCGACACAGACCAGCAGGCGAATTGGCTGAGACAGATGGAGGCAGCATCACTTCAGGCGAGTCCGGCTCTGCCTCCACTCCACAGGCTGTGCACAGCTCGCCCAGAGCCTCCAAGGCAAAATCACAAGGCCACGCTAGCTGTTGATGCACTGCTTGCGAGGAAAAAAATGCTGGATCGCGGTTTTGCGGGATTTTGTCGGTTAGTGGCCCTGTTGCGATGGCAGAATTGCCTAATTACCAATTGTCTCAGAAACAACGTAAATGTAAGACTCTGTAAGACTGTGCGAAGTCCCTGCCTGGACCGCTGCTCTCGTCTTGTCAGAGTTCGCTGGCCCCTGAGCAAGCTGCGCTCGCGATCCCATTAGAATCATTAGTCTTCTCGACTTTCCGATGGCCATGCCCAACTTCGAGAACATGGCAGCACACTGCAGCTCTCGCCAGCTCATGTCAATCAGCGTCTCTCTCGCCACAGGCCTTGCTCTCTGCCAGTGCTGCGGGCACCGCCTCGCGCACGCTTTCGAGTTTCAGCGTTTGGCGGGGGGCCGCAAGTGGACAGGAGGAAATGCGAAGGCGCTCAGGTCGCGACTGGCCACAGCAGCAGCTGAATCAATGGGACCAAGACTCCCGACACACGCTCCGTCTGCATCTTCTGCAAGAATCTGGCCAGGGAGCCTCAGCGGTTGCAAATGTTTGCTTCGCTCTGCCTCTGCATTCCTGCGCATCGGATCCTCAGAGGAAGGCGGACGGCCAGCACGGCAGCAAGCTGGTCCGGTGGATCCTCAGAAAGCTCCACGTGAGTGCGTTAAGCCGAACCTTCCGACCTTGGCCTCTTCGGCATCGGCAGCGCAGGCCATCTCCGCTTCGACGGCCTCGTGACCATGACCCTACTTCCAAGTGCCAGATGGGTGCTGAATCGTGAACGCTGGTCCTGCATCGCATCGACTCGCTCCGGCGCTGGCAAGGGCCTCTAGCAGACTCTAGCACACACATCATGGCATGGCTCCACGAGGGGCGCAGGTACACGTCGCAGAAACGGTGCAACGACAAGGCGGCCGCCCGTTGTTCTCGACATCGATCATCATTATCTTCGCAGCGTGCAAAATCAAGACCCGCAGCAGACTGACACGATCCAAGACCAGCGCAAGCAAGCAGGCATGTCAGATGCCTCCCAGATGCTCTTGGGTCTGTTCATGTACCGGTGCCGCTCCGCCTGGCTCACGATGCTTCTGCGGCCACCCCAAACATTCCCGCAAACCCCAATCAGACGAGTGCTGCCAGCACGTGAAGCTGCGAGAGCAGCGGCCCGCAGACGATCAACTCTGCCACGGCCTGACACGCACAGAAAAACACTCCGAACACACAGCTCGCCGCTGGACTTGCCTGCGTCACTGCAGGCTGTCTAAGGCCCAAGAGGTCGATAACCAAGTCCAGCACGTCCTGAGCAGCTCAGACAAATTTGGAGCGCGAGATCTGGCATCGCAAGCGGGCGAGGGAGGCTCCTTCTCCATCGTCAGCGCGGCTTGGAGGGAACCAGAGCTGTCCTTGTGCATGGCCTTTGCCATTTGCGCCTCGGTTCTGTGGACACATGCTGCGGGTGCACTCCCTCACTCCCTCATCCCAGGAATCTCCACGATAACGCGAGCCGGGCCGCCCAAGCGCAATGCAGCCGTTCGGCCAGTTTCGGCAGCAACTGGCTTCGCAGCACCTGCACAACCGGTGCCAACGCGGGCTTGGCACGGCCAGGGCCAGCCCGACAGATTCGAGGACCGCCAGCTGCAGCCTCGACGGCTGCGCCATGCACCTGGCGGAAGAAGTGGCGGCAAGGTCGCACTTGGAGACCACGTCAAGTGCGTCCCAGTGGCGAGAGGACTCTTTGACTGCAGGAGGCCTGGCACACAAACTTGTGCGAAGTACGTCGATGGCTAGCCGGGCACAGCTCGGGCAATTTCAAGCCAAGTTCTGCCGAGGTGCAAAGACAAACCGTTCTTGCTCCTATCTCGGCCATGTCGTAGCCGTGGAAGACGTATCTCATAGCCTGCCACGCGATCTTCTTCGATGCCCCTCACGATGCCAACGCAAAGACGTCTGCCTCCTCCATCAGAGGCAGCTTTGACTCCTGGCGCAGCGAAGGAGGGAAAGAGGATAGCAGCGAAGTGCCGCACAAGTTTGAAAGCATGCAACGCCATGTAGAAGCTTGGCAACACTCCGAGCACGCGTGCCTCCAAGAACAGTTCCGCATTCCTCAGACCGCAATCGCGGACGACAGAATTCTGTGGAGGCAGGCACGTGTGCACTGCGCGATACACTTGGCCCTGTGAGCGTCTGGCTCGCGCGTCAGCCGGAGAGCCATCCGCTTCAAGGCTGCGATGTAGTAGCCCTGATTGGTGCTTGTAAGACGCAGGCCAGGGCACCTGTGTTGAAAATGGTCCTGAGGAGATCCTGGGCACCTGGCCAGTGCATCGTGGGAGTTGTCCGGGATCTCCGGCCTCAGCGCGGACATGATGCAGCAATCCTCGCCAACGGCCGTGGCGGCCAGACCGAGCGTGGCCGAGCCCGGTGCTGCCCCTTTGCCAACAGGTGCAGCTCACCGCTTGCCAACATGGCATCGAACGTGTCGTCGCGCACCTCGAGAGCGGCAACAGCAAGCAGAGTAGAAGGTGCGAAGGAGCAAGGCAGATCGGGCGAGGGAATGACAGGCTTCAAGCGGCTTCAACAAGTGCTGAAAAAATAGGCAGGCCACGTTCACCATAAGCAGCGACCTCGGGCCAGTGTGGTATGAACAACTGTTCACAGAGCGACAAGATGCACAAGCAGAATCGCAGGTCCCAGGGGCAAGGTGCGGAAGAGGGCATGGCGCACACGCCGCAGCGTGTGCTTTGCCAGCAGTCCGTGCTGGACAAGGAGCATCAGGCCCTGCGGCCGAGATGGCCCATACTAAAGGACGGGTAAGTTATGGCATATGGCATGGACCTGCAAGCACACTGTCTCTTGGCTCTTGACGCGAAGCCGTGATCAGATCTGGCCTTCCGCTCCTGAAAGACGCGGAAGAAGCCAGCGTGCTTCTCCTCGGAAAAGGAGAGCCTGCCAGGGCTGGGAGGTAAAGGCGGATGATGCTTAGCTCTTCGGGCGGATGTAGCCGGGTGGCGCGAAGCCGAGCTGCTCGATGCCTTCGGCGAGCGCCTTCATCAGCCGTTCTGAGAAAATATGTCCGAGATGATTGCTCGACTGAGCAGGCCACGTTTGCCGTCGAGTTCAAATGTGGAACTCGCTCCGTCAGGCCTTCGGACACCAAGCGGAGCCTCGGAAGGCAGTGGAAAGCTCTGCATCCAGCAAGTGCCGCGACTCGGACACCGTCACTCAGTGGGTGGCAGCTCTTCGAATCCCTCCAGTGTTCGGGGGAAATCCTGCATAGCATCAGCATGCCCTGCAACGCCTGCACGAACTCGAGTACGAGGCCCGGGCTTTCTCTGGAGAGGGCTCTGCCTTGCAACCGGCTGAGGCTGAAACTTCCGACGAGTCACGCGTCTCCGCTGCAGGGTTGCGCCTCCCAGAGAGAAGAGACGGCTTCCACTGCCTCAGCGAGAAGGTGCAGGAAATTGACTGTGAAGCGCAGCCTTCTCGAGTGCAGCCGGGGAACGGCCGAGAGCCACTCCATGGATGCAGACGTGGCTATGCTGGGGGGCTTCCAGGTTCGACGATTGTGCACATGCAGAATCAGAACCTGGACTGTAGAGCGCCGCTGGCTCCTGCGACTTGTGACCCGTGACATGCAAGAATGCTTTGCTGGCCGCTCTTTGGCGAAGCCTCACGCTCAAAGCGATAGCTAATCAGCGATCCAAAGGAAAGAACAGCATTCGTGCAGAGACATGCCCTGCTTGAAGCGGATTGTTGGGTGAACCCGCACTGGCCGTCAAGTTGGCAACAAGGATGCAGCGGCAATTTTCGAAAAATCGTTCGCGCGCGAGTGCTAAGTGCTCATAGCCATGGCATCAGAAGCAGTCAGACCCGCCGTCCTCAGAGATGTGAGCAGAAGCTTCCGTAACCCTCGCATGTCTAGCACCCTCTCATGAACAGCATCCGAAAAATGCGCGGGCCTTTGCAGCGAGCTTCCGGCAGCAGATCCTCTTTCCGGGCACGTCAAGAGTGATCAGTGGCGAATTAGTGATTTCCTCTTCCACGAAACTTTGCAAGAACGGGACTGTACAGCGCATGGCATGGGTTACTCCTGTGACGCGAGGCCGGGCCCGACCAGCATGTTAAACATAACATCGATATGTTACCGGATGCTAGCCGCTGGCCCGTCATGGACTAGCAAGAGAACGACAAGCACGGAAAGAAGCGGTCCGTGTGACAGAAAACTTGCCACTCCATTTATAAGACCTTGTTGCAGCACGGTGTCTGACTTGATCCTGCATACATCGCGAAACTTCTGACGCCCCCGCTGCATGCATGCTTCACAAGCATTGCAGCATCTGCCATAAAGTCTGCTTTTGCTGCCTTGGTCGGCCACCTGCAACAGACGCACCAACCCGGGAACGCACAGAGCTGGCATTCGCTGAGGAGCACGACGCCGGCCTTCGTGCTGTGCACACTTCTGCTCGGCGGTGCCGGTTTTCGGCACCGCAGGGGCCTCCGCCTGCATCCCATCACACGACAAGACCCCCAACTGTGCCACAAGATGCCGTGTCAGAGGGGAAAAGCCACCTCGACCCATATTTCACAGTATTTCACAGAAGGTTCAGCCATGTCGGCCTTATTCAGCAGCAGCCCGGAATCGTGCAGCAGCGTGGGGTGGGTGGTCTTCGATACTTTATGTCAAATTAAACAGCAACCTACACAGCCTCGTTCTCACACTGAGTCCACGGCTTGGCACTGGCGAAGCAAATAGGATGCCACCACAGCGCAGGGCACCATACTGACGGAGGCGCATGAGTTTGGGCCCCCACTCTTTCACAACTCTGACTATCGACGGAAGAACGGCTCCAAACGTCCGCCGGCACGGAATGTCACAGCCGCCTTCTCACTACTATAGTACCAACAAAAGTCAACCCGGCACTTTGACGACCAGCAGCACCATCAACTGCACAAGCAGGGGTAGCTGCTGCTGGCGTGGGAAGCGCAAGCACGAGTGAAGCCGTAGATGACGAGTCATTGACGGCGCTGGAGTGCACATTTAAGCAAGCGAGTGAGCGGAGGCGGGGGGGTCGCTCCGTTGCATCGAAGTTCGGTGAAGCAGCTGCGTCAGCGGTGTGCGGCTGTTTAGCACCGGAGCCAACGGGTACATGAGTCAGGCGAGACAGCGAGGGAGTCTGACTGAGTGCATGAATTCGAACGCAAGGGCGGAGTGGAATGAGGCTGTCGTCACTGCGGCAACCTTAGCCCTGCCTCTGGGTGCTGATCCTGTTGCAGGTTACTAGCGAACAGTTGCCACATTCCGGGCGGCCTGCCGACTCCGTCCCCAGTGTACTTTCTATCTGCACCGAAGCTGCGAATAACAAAAACAGCTTTCAACGGCTCTGCGGGAAGCAATTCAGATAACAGAGCGATCGAAGCGAGGAGTGAGAGCAGCGGCTTTCGGGTGTGAGAGTGAGTAACGCAGGAGCTCGTGGGTACGTGGTTGAGCGGACCCATGAAGGGACACTGACTAAGTGAGTTAATGAAAATGTGCTTTTCGGCGAGTACAGCCGGAAGTTGTGTCGGTGGGTGGGCACAAAGCCAACATCTCATGCCATGAGGTACTGCAGTGCAGTTGGGTCCATTTAAGCAATATCCCAAACACTTGCTCAGGCCCTTCGATGGTGCCTCTCGGTGCTGTCCGCCCAGCAGCACCGTCCAAAGCCATTGTCAAGGCCTCGGAGGCACTGTGGCGATGAAAGCAACGGTAAAGCCCCCGACGACCACCGGAGAGCCGAGACACCCGAGACGCCCATCATGCTCTGATCGTCCAGCATGGCCTATAGCTTCGATACTGCAAGCGAGCAGCGCACCATGATCCAACGAGAATGACGAGAAAGGCCCGCGCCTGGATGGCCCCGCGGAAAGGATTGCTGATCCCCTTCTCCTGCATGCCAGGGCAATCGTGCAGAAATAGACAGAAGACGGTGGCTTGTCATGCTCCCCCTTCTGCTGCCTTACCCAAAAGATCTGCGCCGGTGCAATCTCGAAGCCAGATCTGCCTGGCTTGCACGAAAGGTTCCGCTTGTGATTGTAAAACCGGTGCAAGTTTGCAGCTGGCCTTTCCGACAAGCGCTGCTGTGCGGACACCTCCGGCGAGCATCTTCCGTGCTGCTGCTGCAGTAGAGATGCCCTCACAGTGCAGCTTGTCTCGGTGCCTCGGAGGTTGCGAGCGCCGCTTCCTGGCAGCGACACAGACCAGCAGGCGAATTGGCTGAGACAGATGGAGGCAGCATCACTTCAGGCGAGTCCGGCTCTGCCTCCACTCCACAGGCTGTGCACAGCTCGCCCAGAGCCTCCAAGGCAAAATCACAAGGCCACGCTAGCTGTTGATGCACTGCTTGCGAGGAAAAAAATGCTGGATCGCGGTTTTGCGGGATTTTGTCGGTTAGTGGCCCTGTTGCGATGGCAGAATTGCCTAATTACCAATTGTCTCAGAAACAACGTAAATGTAAGACTCTGTAAGACTGTGCGAAGTCCCTGCCTGGACCGCTTCTCTCGTCTTGTCAGAGTTCGCTGGCCCCTGAGCAAGCTGCGCTCGCGATCCCATTAGAATCATTAGAGTCTTCTCGACTTTCCGATGGCCATGCCCAACTTCGAGAACATGGCAGCACACTGCAGCTCTCGCCAGCTCATGTCAATCAGCGTCTCTCTCGCCACAGGCCTTGCTCTCTGCCAGTGCTGCGGGCACCGCCTCGCGCACGCTTTCGAGTTTCAGCGTTTGGCGGGGGGCCGCAAGTGGACAGGAGGAAATGCGAAGGCGCTCAGGTCGCGACTGGCCACAGCAGCAGCTGAATCAATGGGACCAAGACTCCCGACACACGCTCCGTCTGCATCTTCTGCAAGAATCTGGCCAGGGAGCCTCAGCGGTTGCAAATGTTTGCTTCGCTCTGCCTCTGCATTCCTGCGCATCGGATCCTCAGTGGAAGGCGGACGGCCAGCACGGCAGCAAGCTGGTCCGGTGGATCCTCAGAAAGCTCCACGTGAGTGCGTTAAGCCGAACCTTCCGAGCTTGGCCTCTTCGGCAGCGCAGGCCATCTCCGCTTCGGCGGCCTCGTGACCATGACCCTACTTCCAAGTGCCAGATGGGTGCTGAATAGTGAACGCGGGTCCTGCATCGCATCGACTCGCTCCGGCGCTGGCAAGGGCCTCTAGCAGACTCTAGCACACACATCATGGCATGGCTCCACGAGGGGCGCAGGTACACGTCGCAGAAACGGTGCAACGACAAGGCGGCCGCCCGTTGTTCTCGACATCGATCATCATTATCTTCGCAGCGTGCAAAATCAAGACCCGCAGCAGACTGACACGATCCAAGACCAGCGCAAGCAAGCAGGCATGTCAGATGCCTCCCAGATGCTCTTGGGTCTGTTCATGTACCGGTGCCGCTCCGCCTGGCTCACGATGCTTCTGCGGCCACCCCAAACATTCCCGCAAACCCCAATCAGACGAGTGCTGCCAGCACGTGAAGCTGCGAGAGCAGCGGCCCGCAGACGATCAACTCTGCCACGGCCTGACACGCACAGAAAAACACTCCGAACACACAGCTCGCCGCTGGACTTGCCTGCGTCACTGCAGGCTGTCTAAGGCCCAAGAGGTCGATAACCAAGTCCAGCACGTCCTGAGCAGCTCAGACAAATTTGGAGCGCGAGATCTGGCATCGCAAGCGGGCGAGGGAGGCTCCTTCTCCATCGTCAGCGCGGCTTGGAGGGAACCAGAGCTGTCCTTGTGCATGGCCTTTGCCATTTGCGCCTCGGTTCTGTGGACACATGCTGCGGGTGCACTCCCTCACTCCCTCATCCCAGGAATCTCCACGATAACGCGAGCCGGGCCGCCCAAGCGCGATGCAGCCGTTCGGCCAGTTTCGGCAGCAACTGGCTTCGCAGCACCTGCACAACCGGCGCCAACGCTGGCTTGGCACGCCCAGGGCCAGCCCGACAGATTCGAGGACCGCCAGCTACAGCCTCGACGGCTGCGCCATGCACCTGGCGGAAGAAGTGGAGGCAAGGTCGCACTTGGAGGCCACTTCAAGTGCGTCCCAGTGGCGAGAGGACTCCTTGACTGCAGGAGGCCTGGCACACAAACTTGTGCGAAGTACGTCGATGGCTCGCCGGGCACAGCTCGGGCAATTTCAAGCCAAGTTCGGCCGAGGAGCAAAGACAAACCGTTCTTGCTCCTGTCTCGGCCATGTCGTAGCCGTGGAAGACGTATCTCATAGCCTGCCACGCGATCTTCTTCGATGCCCCTCACGATGCCAACGAAAAGACGTCTGCCTCCTCCATCAGAGGCAGCTTTGACTCCTGGCGCAGCGAAGGAGGGAAAGAGGATGCTCGCTGACTCACTCTTGAGCAGCGAAGTGCCGCACAAGTTTGAAAGCATGCAACGCCATGTAATGCCATGTAGAAGCTTGGCAACACTCCGAGCACGCGCGCCTCCAAGAACAGTTCCGCGTTCCTCAGACCGCAATCGCGGACGACAGAATTCTGTGGAGGCAGGCACGTGTGCACTGCTCGATACACTTGGCCATGTGAGCGTCTGGCTCGCGCGTCAGCCGGAGAGCCATCCGCTTCAAGGCTGCGATGTAGTAGCCCTGATTGGTGCTTGTAAGACGCAGGCCAGGGCACCTGTGTTGAAATGGTCCTGAGGAGATCCTGGGCACCTGGCCAGTGCATCGTGGGAGTTGTCCGGGATCTCCGGCCTGAGCGCGGACATGATGCAGCAATCCTCGCCAACGGCCGTGGCGGCCAGACCGAGCGTGGCCGAGCCCGGTGCTGCCCCTTTGCCAGCAGGTGCAGCTCACCGCTTGCCAACATGGCATCGAACGTGTCGTCGCGCACCTCGAGAGCGGCAACAGCAAGCAGAGTGGAAGGTGCGAAGGAGCAAGGCAGATCGGGCGAGGGAATGACAGGCTTCAAGCGGCTTCAACAAGTGCTGAAAAAATAGGCAGGCCACGTTCACCATAAGCAGCGACCTCGGGCCAGTGTGGTATGAACAACTGTTCACAGAGCGACACGATGCACAAGCAGAATCGCAGGTCCCAGGGGCAAGGTGCGGAAGAGGGCATGGCGCACACGCCGCAGCGTGTGCTTTGCCAGCAGTCCGTGCTGGACAAGGAGCATCAGGCCCTGCGGCCGAGATGGCCCATACTAAAGGACGGGTAAGTTATGGCATATGGCATGGACCTGCAAGCACACTGTCTCTTGGCTCTTGACGCGAAGCCGTGATCAGATCTGGCCTTCCGCTCCTGAAAGACGCGGAAGAAGCCAGCGTGCTTCTCCTCGGAAAAGGAGAGCCTGCCAGGGCTGGGAGGTAAAGGCGGATGATGCTTAGCTCTTCGGGCGGATGTAGCCGGGTGGCGCGAAGCCGAGCTGCTCGATGCCTTCGGCGAGCGCCTTCATCAGCCGTTCTGAGAAAATATGTCCGAGATGATTGCTCGACTGAGCAGGCCACGTTTGATCACGTTTGCCGTCGAGTTCAGAGCTTTCCACTGCCTTCCGAGGCTCCGCTTGGTGTCCGAAGGCTTGACAGAGCGAGTGCCACATTTGAAGTTCAAATGTGGCACTCGCTCTGTCAAGCCTTCGGACACCAAGCGGAGCCTCGGAAGGGTTCGAAGCCCTCCAGTGTTCGCGGAAAGTCCTGCGTAGCATCGGCATGCCCTGCAACGCCTGCACGAACTCGAGTACGAGGCCCGGGCTTTCTCTGGAGAGGGCTCTGCCTTGCAACCGGCTGAGGCTGAAACTTCCGACGAGTCACGCATCTCCGCGGCGGGGTTGCGCCTCCCAGAGAGAAGAGACGGCCTCCACTGCCTCAGCGAGTGTGCAGGAAATTGACTGCGAAGCGCAGCCTTCTCGAGTGCAGCCAAGGAACGGCCGAGAGCCACTCCATGGATGCAGACGTGGCTATGCTGGCTGGTTGCCGGAGGTTCGACGATTTTACAAATGCAGAATCAGAACCTGGACTGTAGAGCGCCGCTGGCTCCTGCGACTTGTGACCCGTGACATGCAAGAATGCTTTGCTGGCCGCTCTTTGGCGAAGCCTCACGCTCAAAGCGATAGCTAATCAGCGATCCAAAGGAAAGAACAGCATTCGTGCAGAGACATGCCCTGCTTGAAGCGGATTGTTGGGTGAACCCGCACTGGCAGTCAAGTTGGCAACAAGGATGCAGCGGCAATTTTCGAAAAATCGTTCGCGCGCGAGTGCTAAGTGCTCATAGTCATGGCATCAGAAGCAGTCAGACCCGCCGTCCTCAGAGATGTGAGCAGAAGCTTCCGTAACCCTCGCATGTCTAGCACCCTCTCATGAACAGCATCCGAAAAATGCGCGGGCCTTTGCAGCGAGCTTCCGGCAGCAGATCCTCTTTCCGGGCACGTCAAGAGTGATCAGTGGCGAATTAGTGATTTCCTCTTCCACGAAACTTTGCAAGAACGGGACTGTACAGCGCATGGCATGGGTTACTCCTGTGACGCGAGGCCGGGCCCGACCAGCATGTTAAACATAACATCGATATGTTACCGGATGCTAGCCGCTGGCCCGTCATGGACTAGCAAGAGAACGACAAGCACGGAAAGAAGCGGTCCGTGTGACAGAAAACTTGCCACTCCATTTATAAGACCTTGTTGCAGCACGGTGTCTGACTTGATCCTGCATACATCGCGAAACTTCTGACGCCCCCGCTGCATGCATGCTTCACAAGCATTGCAGCATCTGCCATAAAGTCTGCTTTTGCTGCCTTGGTCGGCCACCTGCAACAGACGCACCAACCCGGGAACGCACAGAGCTGGCATTCGCTGAGGAGCACGACGCCGGCCTTCGTGCTGTGCACACTTCTGCTCGGCGGTGCCGGTTTTCGGCACCGCAGGGGCCTCCGCCTGCATCCCATCACACGACAAGACCCCCAACTGTGCCACAAGATGCCGTGTCAGAGGGGAAAAGCCACCTCGACTCATATTTCACAGTATTTCACAGAAGGCTCAGCCACGTCGGCCTTATTCAGCAGCAGCCCGGAATCGTGCAGCAGCGTGGGGTGGGTGGCCTTCGATACTTTATGTCAAATTAAACAGCAAGCTACACAGCCTCGTTCTCACACTGAGTCCACGGCTTGGCACTGGCGAAGCAAATAAGATGCCACCACAGCGCAGGGCACCATACTGACGGAGTCGCATGAGTTTGGGCCCCCACTCTCTCACAACTCTGGGAAGAATGACTCCAAACGTCCGCCGGCACGGAATATCACAGGGTATGTTGCCTTCTCACTACCATAGCACCTACTTGAGAGGCGCTCCAGGGCCAACAAAAGCCAACCCCGCACCTTGGGAACCAGCACCATCAACTACAGAAGCAGGGGTAGCTGCTGCTGGTATGAGAGACGCAAGCATGAGTGAGTGAAGCCGTGGATGACGAGTCATTGACGGCGAAAGGATACACAAGTCTAGCAAGCGAGTGAGCGGAGGGGGGTGCTCCGTTGCGTTCGAGTTCAGTGAAGAAGCTGGGTCAGAGGAACGCTGCTGTAGAGCACTGGAGCCAACGGTACATGAGTCAGGCGAGAGAGCGAGGGAGTCAGACTAAGTGCGACTTCGTTAGCAAGGGCACCAGGGATATCGGTAGGGAGGGAGGAGGGGAGGCGAATGTGTGTGTGTGTGTGGTTGGCTGAAGTAAAGAGTGGAATGAGGCTGTCGTCACTGCGGCAACCTTAGCCTTGCCTCTGGGTGCTGATCATGTTGCAGGTTACTAGCGAACAGTTGCCACATTTTCGTGCTTGCGGACAGGGCGGCCTGCCGACTCCGTCCCCAGGATACTTTCTATCTGCACCGAAGCTGCGAATAACAAAAACAGCTTTCAACTGCTCTGCGGGAAGCAATAGAGCGATCGTGGGTACATGGGCGAGTGAGGGAAGGAGGCTATCATAAAGGGATGTGGGTGAGTGAAATGACAGAGCTGAGCGAGGAATCACTCGAGTAGACTCGGTGCTCACGTAGACTTCGTGAACGGATGAAGTGAAAGAGAAAGTAAGTGAATGAAGCAAGTGGCAAGCTGAATAAGAGACCGCATTACGTCAGGAAGGGCGTGAGTAAACACCGGAGGGCGTACATGCAAGTGACAGGCAATCAAACGATATCAAACGAGCACAAGCAGTGAACAAGTTAAGCGCGCGATTGGAGATTGCGGCACCGCGAGGGAGCGGTTCGTTGCATTTTGGAGACCCTCTGCTACTCACTGAAGGGAACTCAAGCAGGTCTGTGAGAGTGCGGCAAAAAAGCTTTCCTGATTCCTGAGTTTATCCCGCTGGCACGGCTTTCAGCCACTCTGCGAGCTTAAACTGCACATGCATGGATCGAGATGATACGCGAAAGAAGTAACCCCAGTGAGAGACTGCATGATCAAATATGCTGCCTAGTGAATGGAAAAGTCGAGACGAGCAACCCTAAAACACGGTGATTTGAGCGAGGCGACTGTGTGATGGTGTAAGCCGAGCGAGTGCCTGGAGCAAGTGAGCTCGTGACACACTCAGCATACAGTACGTACACACAGACAAGCACACCAGCACACTTCTTTGCAAGAATCCACACCATTGACCACTTGAGAGCAGCTGCTTCCACCCAACAGCATGAACCAATCCGGGCATGCATTCCTACTCCCTGCCCCCACCCACACCCCTTCGCAAGAGATGTCCCGGAACCTCTACCACCCCGACACTGCGGATGCACTGCCGCTGCCTGCCTGAACAATGCCAAAGCAAGGGCGCCAGCTTTTGCGAAAAGAGCCAACACATTACAGAGCTCGTCCCTGGAGCTTCAAGCACCCTGAACATCTTCAGATTTAGATGCTTGGGGTCCCACTTGGGTGTGGCTATATCCCAAACACTTGCACAGGCCCTTCGATGGTGCCTCTCGGTGCTGTCCGCCCAGCAGCACCGTCCAAAGCCATTCTCAAGGCCTCGGAGGCACTGTGGCGATGAAAGCAACGGTAAAGCCCCCGACGACCACCGGAGAGCCGAGACACCCGAGACGCCCATCATGCTCTGGTCGTCCAGCATGGCCTATAGCTTCGATACTGCAAGCGAGCAGCGCACCATGATCCAACGAGAATGACGAGAAAGGCCCGCGCCTGGATGGCCCCGCGGAAAGGATTGCTGATCCCCTTCTCCTGCATGCCAGGGCAATCGTGCAGAAATAGACAGAAGACGGTGGCTTGTCATGCTCCCCCTTCTGCTGCCTTACCCAAAAGATCTGCGCCGGTGCAATCTCGAAGCCAGATCTGCCTGGCTTGCACGAAAGGTGCCGCTTGTGATTGCCGAACCGGTGCAAGTTCGCAGCTGGCCTCTCCGACAAGCGCTGCTGTGTGGAAACCTCCGGCGAGCATCTTCGGTGCTGCTGCTGCTGCTGCAGTAGAGATGCCCTCACAGTGCAGCTTGTCTCGGTGCCTCAGAGGTTGCGAGCGCCGCTTCCTGGCAGCGACACAGACCAGCAGGCAAATTGGCTGAGACAGATGGAGGCAGCATCACTTCAGGCGAGTCCGGCTCTGCCTCCACTCCACAGGCTGTGCACAGCTCGCCCAGAGCCTCCAAGGCAAAATCACAAGGCCACGCTAGCTGTTGATGCACTCACTTTGCTGAATTTGCGGGTTTGTGGGATTGTGTCGGTTAGGGGCCCTGGTGCGATGGGCGATGGCAGCCACTAGCAATACTTTCTCAGAAACAATGTAAGACCGTGCAAAGTCTTTGCCTGAACCGCTGCCCTCGTCTTGTCAGCGTTCGCTGGCTCCTGGGCAGGCTGCGCTCGCGATCCCATTAGAGTCTCCCCGACTCTCCGGTGGCTGTGCTTCGAGAACATGGCAGCACACGGCAGCTCTCGCCAGCTCATGTCAATCAGCGTCTCTCTCGCCACAGGCCTTGCTCTCTGCCAGTGCTGCGAGCACCGCCTCGCACACGCTTTCGAGTTTCAGCGTTTGGCTCGGGGCCGCAAGTGGACAGGAGGAAATGCGAAGGCGCTGAGGTCGCGACTGGCCACAGCAGCAGCTGAATCAATGGGACCAAGACTCCCGACACACGCTCCGTCTGCATCTTCTGCAAGAATCTGGCCAGGGAGCCTCAGCGGTTGCAAATGTTTGCTTCCCTCTGCCTCTGCATTCCTGCGCATCGGATCCTCAGAGGAAGGCGGACGGCCAGCACGGCAGCAAGCTGGTCCGGTGGATCCTCAGAAAGCTCCACGTGAGTGCGTTAAGCCGAACCTTCCGAGCTTGGCCTCTTCGGCAGCGCAGGCCATCTCCGCTTCGGCGGCCTCGTGACCATGACCCTACTTCCAAGTGCCAGATGGGTGCTGAATCGTGAACGCTGGTCCTGCATCGCATCGACTCGCTCCGGCGCTGGCAAGGGCCTCTAGCACACACATCATGGCATGGCTCCACGAGGGGCGCAGGTACACGTCGCAGAAACGGTGCAACGACAAGGCGGCCGCCCGTTGTTCTCGACATCGATCATCATTATCTTCGCATGAGGACCCGCAACAGGCTGACACCATCCAAGACAAGCGCAAGCAATCGCAAGCATGTCAGATGCCTCCCAGATGCTCTTGGGTCTGTTCATGTACCGGTGCCGCTCCGCCTGGCTCACGATGCTTCTGCGGCCACCCCAAACATTCCCGCAAACCCCAATCAGACGAGTGCTGCCAGCACGTGAAGCTGCGAGAGCAGCGGCCCGCAGACGATCAACTCTGCCACGGCCTGACACGCACAGAAAACACTCCGAACACACAGCTCGCCGCTGGACTTGCCTGCGTCACTGCAGGCTGTCTAAGGCCCAAGAGGTCGATAACCAAGTCCAGCACGTCCTGAGCAGCTCAGACAAATTTGGAGCGCGAGATCTGGCATCGCAAGCGGGCGAGGGAGGCTCCTTCTCCATCGTCAGCGCGGCTTGGAGGGAACCAGAGCTGTCCTTGTGCATGGCCTTTGCCATTTGCGCCTCGGTTCTGTGGACACATGCTGCGCGTGCGCTCCCTCACTCCCTCATCCCAGGAATCTCCACGATAACGCGAGCCGGGCCACCCAAGCGCAATGCAGCCGTTCGACCAGTTTCGGCAGCAACTGGCTTCGCAGCACCTGCACAACCGGTGCCAACGCGGGCTTGGCACGGCCAGGGCCAGCCCGACAGATTCGAGGACCGCCAGCTGCAGCCTCGACGGCTGCGCCATGCACCTGGCGGAAGAAGTGGCGGCAAGGTCGCACTTGGAGACCACGTCAAGTGCGTCCCAGTGGCGAGAGGACTCTTTGACTGCAGGAGGCCTGGCACACAAACTTGTGCGAAGTACGTCGATGGCTAGCCGGGCACAGCTCGGGCAATTTCAAGCCAAGTTCTGCCGAGGTGCAAAGACAAACCGTTCTTGCTCCTATCTCGGCCATGTCGTAGCCGTGGAAGACGTATCTCATAGCCTGCCACGCGATCTTCTTCGATGCCCCTCACGATGCCAACGCAAAGACGTCTGCCTCCTCCATCAGAGGCAGCTTTGACTCCTGGCGCAGCGAAGGAGGGAAAGAGGATAGCAGCGAAGTGCCGCACAAGTTTGAAAGCATGCAACGCCATGTAGAAGCTTGGCAACACTCCGAAGCACGCGTGCCTCCAAGAACAGTTCCGCATTCCTCAGACCGCAATCGCGGACGACAGAATTCTGTGGAGGCAGGCACGTGTGCACTGCGCGATACACTTGGCCCTGTGAGCGTCTGGCTCGCGCGTCAGCCGGAGAGCCATCCGCTTCAAGGCTGCGATGTAGTAGCCCTGATTGGTGCTTGTAAGACGCAGGCCAGGGCACCTGTGTTGAAAATGGTCCTGAGGAGATCCTGGGCACCTGGCCAGTGCATCGTGGGAGTTGTCCGGGATCTCCGGCCTCAGCGCGGACATGATGCAGCAATCCTCGCCAACGGCCGTGGCGGCCACACCGAGCGTGGCCGAGCCCGGTGCTGCCCCTTTGCCAACAGGTGCAGCTCACCGCTTGCCAACATGGCATCGAACGTGTCGTCGCGCACCTCGAGAGCGGCAACAGCAAGCAGAGTGGAAGGTGCGAAGGAGCAAGGCAGATCGGGCGAGGGAATGACAGGCTTCAAGCGGCTTCAACAAGTGCTGAAAAAATAGGCAGGCCACGTTCACCATAAGCAGCGA